ATTTGCTTCTTTGTTTATCATTCGTTACTGTAGTCCGATGTGCATGCATGCATGACAGGCTCTCGAAACTCGAGTGGGCGCTCGTCAGATCAGTGAAGGTCAGTGTTAGGAGGCTATCGACATCAGCAAGGACGCGACGAACTAAAGGCCGAGTGCATGCATTACCGATCAAACAGTGTTGGAGAGAAGTCCTATCGATACAAGTGAGGGTTTCCTCCTCGTGAAAACTCTGCATCGCATTGACTTATGGTGCTGAGAAAGCAACGCGTGTTGTGCATGATCTTCCCGCACCTTCCACGACTTGCAGAAACGAGCAGTCTTGCTTGCTCGATTCATCAATTAGATGCGGGTAAGATTTCTCTTTTGAGAACGGAAGTCTAATCCGGTAAAAGTTGACTAAGAGAACTTCAAGTGTCTCACATACGCTGCAAGAACATGAGATGAGTCAAGAAGAAGACAACCCAAGTGCTATTGCGCTGACTGAAACAAGAATCGGGGTGGTCCGATTCACACATAAGAACGTGTTACAACCTCTCTTGTGATGATGTGCGGGTGTGATCATCGTGGAATTGTCGTCGAAGAAGTGACCCAAAGCTCCAAAGTTCCAAGTCTCTTATCTCACGTTTTGGTTCATAGCACATAGATTATGGATAGAGTCCGAGGTTGTTTTCCCTCCAACATCGCAACAGGACATCACACAGGAGACATGAACATAGATGAACGTGATCATAAGAGAATCGTGATTGGACATTCTGTTCGATATGTGTGGCTTTCACATCACAAGCCGCCCCTCCAATGATTTTGTATTTATCCCTCTAGCAATCAATATATATCCAAATAACAATTATATTAGATATTTTGTAACTTTAATTGACATCAGTATCATTTTGAAATTCTTTAAAATGTTAAAAATAATATTTAAAATATTCTAGAAAATTTAATTTTCTGAAATATTTTCAACCCGACTTCAATATAATTTTTTTGATATATTTTGGAGGAACATATAATATTACTCCAAATTTTGTAATGATATTTTCGTTAAACCTTATGAGAAATTATTTCTTTCTTTCTTTGTTTTGTTAAGCAAATACATGATGGTTTTTTTGGGCTTACAAATTCGTATTTCATTATACAATAATAGTACACCAAGTTATTGAATTTGGTAAACACTTTGCAAGTTCCTTAATGTATGTATGGCATCAAATGTAGCATGGATTAGTTATAAACTTTAATACATAATAACTTTAAAACACTAGATTTGCAGAACAAATTATATCACATGAAATATGTATTATAAGATATTCATAAATATATTAAACAAATATATATGATAATTAACTAATAATGCTTTATGGATATAAGTATTGAACAACTAAGAAAAAAAATATATACAAGAAATTTATGTGGTTGAGATGAGAATATTAAGATAGATGCATGGAGTTATCAGGAAAGATATAAAAAAGGGTATCACTTCGGTAGATAAAAAAATTATTTAAGATGATATGGACATATACAAAGGAGACTTCCGGATGAGATAATTAATAGAAACTATTAATTATTTTAGTGATATTATGGTAGGTAGAGAAAGACCTTAAATTTTTTAATAGAAAATATAAATAAATTTAATTAGATAGATAATTTTTTATAGATTTTAATGATAATAAGGGATCTATATAGTCGATCTCAAATAATTGAGAGTTATGATTATATTATTATTATTATTACGGTAATAAAAATGTCTAAGTGATCTAAAACTAAAAGTGAGTCAATTTGAAGACGTGGAGGAAGTTAACCACATACGAGCCAACACGTAGAAACACAAGCGATGAGGAAATTGAGTTGTCTCACAATTACTATACGAGAAGATAGGAGAATGCGATGATTGAAATATGAGAGCAATACTTTAGTTTAGTCTATCCATCTAAGAGGAGACAAGTGTTAGGCCATAGTCCAAAGGTGCAGAAATAATATATTCTAAATCAACCGATGTCGTCCGATAGATTCGAGTAGGCCTTCGCAGGGGATCCAATCGCGAGTCCAATCCTCTTCCATTCGAGTATGAGTTGTGAGTCACTATGAACGGCTGCGGATCAAAGCATCGATCACATCACGCGCAATTGCAAGCCACCGGACCACCACAAGCACCGCAGTAATCGTAATCCCATTTTATCGCCTCCAATCCCCGTTGGCTCGTCGACCCGACGTACATGCTAGATTGGTGGGCCCTATCAACCTCACGAAGGATAAGAGATCGACATCGAGGCTAATGCCACCTAAGACATTCCTCATGTTTGGTAAGCAGTCCACAAACCGAACCACACTCCTTTTACCAATTAAGACTGGAAAGCGCGATTGATCGATCATACAGTCAGTAACAGTGACCGAGCCATCGAGCCTTTCCGTAGCGTAAGCGCCCCATTAATATCGCTGACATCGCAAGACGGTATGAAGTATATTCGAGCAACATACGATCCGATCGTGCGGTCTAAAACCATCATGATTCCACGCGAAGCAAATAGCGGCTGTCTCACACCGCGAGGAAGTAAGCCTGAACCGGTCGTCGGTCAGCACCCTCCAACTTTGATCCTTGACACATCGAGGAATAACAAATCGAACGCTACATTTCGATACCCGCATGTTTCCGTCCGTACCCCCACCCGCTGCGGGACCCGTTACCGGGGGCCCATTGCCTTCTTCCCTCCTCTCCGATCACCTCTCCGCACTGCACGTGGGTGGGTCGCGCATCGTCCTGTAAAATCGTTACTCTTTGAAATTTTATTTTATATTTTAAACGTATTTTAGAGTTTTATAAATAATAGATAAAAACTATAATTTAAATGTGCTAATATTTTTTTATATTTATTTAAAGAATATATATTTTTTATATATAAATAAATGTAATCTTATAAAAAAATTTCATATGACCCAAATATATAATATATTTTTAGATAAAATCATATGATAATTTTATAATTTTAAAAATTATGAGAGCATCTTGTAAATTATGAAATATAGTATAATATTTAAATTAGATATAATTTTATTTTAAAATTTTTTAAAAGATTAAATTATATTTAAAATATATTTTGAGCACACAATTCATATCTCAACTATGTTCTTATCGCACTCTGTGACCCGTCCGATGGTTGTAGCAGGGGAGTTGCGAAGATAAGCTTGCACCGGGAAAGGTCATATCGCTATGGGTCCCAACTATCGTGGTTTGTTTCGACGGATGGGGTTCACATGGAGCTGAGAATTACATCGGAAAGGGAACGGTGGAACATACACACACACACACCCCATCGAGGATGATTGCCATCACCAACCGCCGACTCTCTCTCTCTCCCCTTTCCCAACCATAGAGGCGTAAAAGCTCCGTCGCTTACTCTTCCCAATCTACAGCTATTTATTTACAGAAAAAAGTGGGATGAGCAGCCATTCCCTCCTTCCTTCCCGTAACTATAAACCCAAGGCGGGAGGATAAACCATGATTTAGCTGCTCCTCCACTTCTTCCCCGCCCTCTTCTTGTCTGTTCTCTGTAAATTTGAACGCCATACTTCGTTTGTGTAATCCGTCAGTGGGATTCTTCTATTTTTGGTTTTTGTCGAAGTCGGATTGGAGATTTTGGGGCTCGCAGATCTCTGATCGGGGATGAAGAAGATGGGCCCGACCGAAGAGGGGAGAGGGGGCGAAAGCCCGACGGATGCGATCGAGGTGGAGAGTACCGGCGGCCGCATCTCCTTTAGTGGCCCCTTGAGCGGGCCTCTCAACAAGAGGGGGGAGAAGAGCGGCGCCCGGGTTAGCTTCCCGGGCTCGCCTTCGTCTGTGGGGTCGGTTAAGGGGAAGGAGCAGGAGGAGGAGGACGACGATGACACGTACGTGGAGATCACCCTGGACGTGCGCGACGACACGGTGGCGGTGCACAGCGTGAAGGCGGCGGGGGCCGGCGGGGACGCCGCCGGGGACCCGGAGGTGGCGGCGCTCGCGCGGGAGCTGGAGAGGCGGTCGGCGTTCGGGGCGTCGGTGATGCGCACGGCGTCGTGGAGGTTCCGGCAGGTGTCACAGGAGCTGCGGCGGCTGGCGTCGTTCGGGCGGCGTCCCGGGGCGGGGAAGTTCGACCGGAGCAGGTCCGCCGCCGCGCAAGCCCTCAAGGGCCTCAAGTTCATCAGCAAGGCCGACGGCGTCGCCGGATGGGCTGCCGTCGAGCGCCGCTTCGATGAGCTCGCCGTCGATGGCACCCTCGACCGCTCAAAGTTCGCTCAGTGCATCGGTCCGTCCCCCCATCACTCCGATCGTTTCCCCTCTTCAACCGCCTTCACATCTATTCCCGTTTATTGTTTCCTTTCTTTTCCTCCAAAGCAAAAATCGTATGTTTTCTATGCTTTTACAATCTAAAAAAAATTGAAAGTTGGGATCGATAGGAATGAAAGAGTCGAAGGAGTTCGCAGGCGAGCTGTTCGATGCGTTGGCGAGGAGGAGACAGATCAAAGGGGATACTATCACAAAGGCGGAGTTGCGAGAGTTTTGGGATCAGATATCGGAACAGAGCTTCGATTCCAGGCTCCAAACCTTCTTCGATATGTAACGATTCAAACCAGTCCTCAGTTCTATAGAGATTACAAACAGAAAAAATCATGCCATCATTGATTTGGCGTCCGATGCACAGGGTGGATAAGAACGCGGATGGAAGAATCACGGAAGAGGAAGTCAGAGAGGTGATTCAGCTAAAGTCTCTGTAGCCTTCTGATGAAGACAAGCAGATTGCGTATCACTTATTACTTAATTCTGGCACCATTATACTATTGAATTATACTAGTTTTTAGTCTTAGCATATACGTGGTTGGCAAACAGATCATCTCGCTGAGCGCTTCAGCCAACAATCTCTCCAAGATTCAAGATCAGGCGGAGGAGTATGCGGCGCTCATCATGGAGGAACTGGACCCCGACAGTCTTGGCTACATTGAGGTAAAGGATTCGGGCGGGGCACCGGAGAAATGCTCGGGTAGATTGGGTTATGTTGGCTCGATGATCTGGGGAACCAACTGACGGTGATCATGGCCTCAGATATACAACCTGGAGATGCTCCTGTTGGAGGCGCCCGGCTACTCGGCGCAGCTCGGCACCACCAACAGCCGAAACCTGAGTCAGATGCTGAGCCAGAAGCTGAGGCCGACCCGTGAGCCAAACCCGCTGGTCCGGTGGTACCACGAGGGGCGCTACTTCCTGGAGGACCACTGGAAGCGGGTGTGGGTGATGGTGCTGTGGCTGTGCGTCTGCGCCAGCCTCTTCGCGTGGAAGTTCGTCCAGTACCGGCGGCGCGCGGTGTTTCATGTCATGGGTTATTGCGTCTGCGTCGCCAAGGGCGGCGCGGAGACCCTTAAGTTCAACATGGCCCTCATCCTCCTCCCGGTCTGCCGCAACACCATCACCTGGCTCCGCACCAAGACCAAGCTCGGCAAGGTCCTGCCCTTCGACGACAACCTCAATTTCCACAAGGTACGACGACGACCCCCCTCGGAATTGCTCTACGGCCTCTTGTGCTCCTGAATGCAAAATGAATAGGACTGGGATTCGTGTCGTTGGCTGCGTGATGCAGGTGATCGCGGTGGGCGTGGCGATCGGTGTCGGGCTTCATGCGATCTCGCACTTGACGTGCGACTTCCCACGCCTCCTGCACGCGACGGACCAAGAGTACGATCCCATGAAGCACTTCTTCGGGGACACCCGGCCCAACAACTTCTGGTGGTTCGTGAAGGGCACGGAGGGGTGGACGGGGGTGGTGATGGTGGTCCTGATGGCCATCGCCTTCACTCTCGCCACCCCGTGGTTCCGCCGCAACCGGCTCAACCTGCCCTGGCCCTTGAAACGCCTCACCGGGTTCAACGCCTTCTGGTACTCTCACCACCTGTTCGTCATCGTCTACGTTCTCCTCATCATCCACGGCACCTTCATCTACCTCTCGAAGAAATGGTACAAGAAGACGGTTCGTGATCGATAACCCACATAAAACAACGAGCAGAGTTCAGCTTCCTCGAGCGACGATCCACTAACACGCTCTCTCTATGTTAATACGTTTGCAGACATGGATGTATTTGGCGATTCCGCTCATCCTCTACGCCAGCGAACGGTTGATCAGAGCGCTCCGATCGAGCGTGAGGGCGGTCAAGATATTGAAAGTGGCGGTGTACCCTGGCAACGTCCTGACTCTTCAAATGTCGAAGCCACAGGGCTTCAAGTACCGAAGCGGTCAATACATATTTGTTAATTGCGCAGCCGTCTCCCCGTTCCAGTGGTAAAGACCGCACACTAAATTTTCCATACCGTACCTGTCAAATTTAACAGCGACTTCTTTCGTATGAGCTTAATCAAGTCTGTTGTTTGATTGTTTGTTTTTCCCAAACGACAACAGGCACCCATTCTCCATCACGTCAGCCCCGCAAGACGACTACATCAGTGTTCACATACGGACCCTGGGGGACTGGACCAGGCAGCTCAAAGCTGTTTTCTCTGAGGTATACTGTGCTGCCTATTGTCTGCGCTATGCCGGTATAGTTTTAGTAGACATGGCAGGATTAAGCGCTTTATTTAGTGATCTGCGAGCGAATGTTTCGCGAACTAGGTATTCTATTTGTTCTTTCTTTTGGGGGGCGCGAAGATGAAGTGGGTTTGGATTTGGTGTTTGTAGGTGTGTCAGCCACCAACAAGTGGCCAAAGCGGTCTTCTTAGATCAGACTACGACAGCAACAACAACCTCATGTAAGTTATTACTTGCTCGCCTCTTCTGGCTCTCTTTTTGCCACCATGAACTGTGCTTGTCGTCCTTTAGCCTGGTCTATTGTAGGTAGGAGTAACTAATTGATCCTTAACGTTGTTCAGTATCCCAAACTATTACTGTAATAATCATTACAATGATGCTTGTAATGATAATCACAGAAACTAGCACATGGTACTCGTGCTACCACATGTACCAAAAGTCGTTATCTGTCAGCCTCGCATCGCGAACCTAAGAGGGCCTCCTGCGATGAGAAAATTACTGGAAGAAGCTCTTAGACGGAGCATTATTCTGCGTTGCTGTCCATGTTTGATGTTTTTTCATATTATGTTGTCATCCATTGTATGTTGATTAATTTACTAAAATTTCAAAGTGGGTTCTCATGAATTATTAGACCCATTTACGAATTGTTACATCCGTTTAATATGCTTGCTTGAGAAAAAGATATTAGGAGATACCTAACGAATAATTGGATATGCAGCTTTCCAAAGGTGCTGATCGATGGGCCGTATGGAGCACCAGCCCAAGAGTACAAGAAGTACGAGGTCGTACTGCTGGTGGGGCTGGGAATCGGCGCCACCCCTTTCATCAGCATCGTCAAGGACATCGTCAACAACATGAAGCAATGGGACCCCGAAGAGTCGTCCGACGGCGACGACGTTCGCGACGCGTCGGAGGGCGGCAGCGGCGGCCACAGTAGCAGCCACCGGAGGCCGGTGACGTCGTCGACGTCGTCGTTCAAGACGAGGAGGGCCTACTTCTACTGGGTGACGCGGGAGCAGGGATCGTTCGAGTGGTTCCGGGGGGTGATGAACGAGGTGGCGGAGACGGACAAGAAGGGGGTGATCGAGCTGCACAACTTCTGCACCAGCGTGTACGAGGAGGGCGACGCCCGGTCCGCCCTTATCGTGATGCTACAGTCCCTCAACCACGCCAAGCACGGGGTGGACATCGTGTCGGGCACTCGGGTCAAGTCCCACTTCGCCCGCCCCAACTGGCGCAACGTCTACAAACGCATCGCCCTCAACCATCGCGATCAACGAATCGGTACGCTTCCTTCTCGACCTCCACCGCATGGAAACCCACAACATTGCTTTAAATTAATTCCTCTCGGCTTTCATCCTCCACGCGCTTACACATTTTTTTAATCCTCAAGTACACAAACGGTAACGCAATCACCACAATTTGAGACTATTAACCATCCAAAAAGAACAGATCCTGACAAGAGTCGAAGGTTTTGGTCTTGTATTTTAAGTTTTTAGACGAATCGAGTCTAATAGTTAATTCCATTAAGGTGAATTGACGATTCCTTCACATGGTACACCACAGATATAGTATCATGCAAGTCCTAATACGTTTCTGATATTTGCAGTTAGGTGGTACTCAACGATTTCTCCACCAACTCTCATCTCCATAGAATAAGCCTAATAAAACAAAGAACATGTTCCGTTTTCTACTCCCAATTATGACTATGCCATGTGGACCAAATCACGTAATAATGGTCCTATGGTTGCATCTTGTGTAATATAAAGCTAGAATCCTGATAAACATACACATTAGTGCCTACCTGTGTTATTGTCCAAGTGGCTCACGCGCATGTACATTTTTTTCTGCTGCTTCTCGTTATAAAATATCTGGTAGAGAGAATCTTGTCCTGGGGTCAACCAGATATCCTAGTCATATTGGTTTATTGCCACTAATAATACCTGTTCTCATCTTTAAACAGGTGTATTCTACTGTGGAGCCCCGACCCTGACGAAGGAGCTGCGCCAGCTAGCCACGGATTTCTCAAGGAAGACCAGCACCAAGTTCGACTTCCACAAGGAGAACTTTTGAAACCATTCGATGCCATCACACAGTCACTTTCTCCTCCTTGTATAGATATTTACCTGTTGGTTTCTCCTTTAACATCTGAGGGCAGTGGCTGCGTAGATGAACACAACCGCAGACACTGGAGAGTATGTAGGGTAGGATAGTATTTGCCAGCCCCATTGGGTCTACTTTCTTGTTGTTTCCATTATTTTTTAAAATTATTTTGGCCCCTGTTGTATTACTAGCTATTGTTGTGTTGTATAATAAGACATGTCCTTCGCTTTTTTTCAATCTCTAATAATGGGAGATATTCTAAGTTGTTCGATGACATGGAAAATAGTTCACGCGCACAGCAGAGTAAGCAGGAGAAAGGAAAATTCGGCTGGCAAAAGATACTTTTCGACAATGTGTTCACAGTTTCAATCGGTATTCAAAGGCTAAAGGTGACTGACTACATAACGGTGAATTGTGTCTATTCATCTCCTTCAAAGAACGGAAAGAGATGTCCACATTCAAAGAAAATCCAATGGGTGCTTCAAGGGAACATGGCAATTGTCTATGGCCCATTGAAAGAATGCAACATGTGAAGGAACAATATTCCCCAACTTTTCCACAGACTCGAAGGAGCACTACATGTCAAAGAATGGCTTAGTTAACGCCTTACTGGCTATAATCTATTAATCTAAAGGAAGTTGGCGTCATGATTGGGCTGTATGTGATCACCCGACTTCACGCGTTAGGTTGAGCACGATGTACTACTCAACTCAGTCAATAATTTAAACTGACTCGCTAAGGCAACTAGGTTATAGTACTGTTCTACTTTGGCATGACAAAACCTAGTTTAACTCTGTTTACATAGTTTTCAAAATCATAACCTTATCCAGCATCAACTTATGAAATGACAAGATTCACCTTAAGCTCAGTTCAGTGGTTTCCTAACCGAAGCTGGAACTAACGACAATGACAGGCCCACCGGGTGCCGAGAAATAATAACTTATGTCGAGGTCAAAGCGCAAACCAGTGACCATCAAGTGGCTCTAAAAATACAACGGAGTTAGGAAGCATATTATGACCTGCTCCACATGTAGTAGTGCATCCTAACCTGGAGCCAGATCATGCACTCAATCTGCGTCATACAAGACCTACAGCGATACTGCTCCACGACGGTGACAGCCCCAATGGACCAAGCACCGCGTGAATAAGAGCACTAAGAACAGACAATGAAATCGTTATAAAAAGATCACGGCTGATGCTAACACGCACTGCCCGTAGCAAAAGCCAATTGCAGAACGCAAAAAGTAACCATGATCACCAGGATGTATCAGGTCATATAACTATGCTTTTTTAATCATTTTTTGATGTTGAATCCTAGGATTTGTTATCATGGATGGATGGATATGAAGCAGGTAAGATATGGCCCGACATCTTTGTCAAGCAAAAGAAAAATAATTTACCTGAATCTTGAACTCCAGTAAATTGATGTCAAGCTGCTTTCCATAAAGCTTCAAATCATCTCTTGGAGATAAGTGGAGGGCCAAAACCTACGTGAATAATGGATTGCTTTAGACCAAATAACAAAGGGGGTAAATTAACTAACTCCAGGCTCACCTTCCTGGGTAATCTCCAAGTGGACCAGGTGCCTTGTAGCAACAAAGAAAAGTAGAATTAGTGAATATTGTTATTTTTTAAAGAAGAACAGCAATCTAAGGGAGAAGTCCACAATCAAAATTTGAAAACATCATTTGTGGTGAGGAAACATTCTGCCCATTTTGGAAGCCATGTAGTTTCTAGGAACCGCTCACCCAATGTGGCGAACACATGAGATTGGAATCTGCACCAAGATCACCAACCCTTGTGGATACTACTTTTTGAATGCCCCACTGTTAGACATCAAGCTGCAATGAGAAGCGCAGGCAGAACTGCTTAGCATGTTCGATGAAATAGACTGTAAAAACTCATTCCTAATCTACTCCAAGTTCTGGTGGACATTAGGACCAGCTTGTATAAGCATAAACATTACATAAACTAATGATTCCATAATTCATATTCAGCTCCTCTCAAAGTGGCATGTAGCTGAAATTTTAACCTTTGGACTTAGTGGCTGACCAAAGCTTGAGTTGAAATAATGTTATGTTTTTATATAATTAAGAACAGAACAAAAGAAATAGAAAGTTTGGTTCATCTAATGAACAATATTGATGCCTCTTACACCAATAGCTGTTCCTTTCTAATAAAGGGACTCCATGGAGGTGAATCCCTTCAGATGAAGAAGCCCCATAAAGGAAGTATATTGTTGGGCACACCAATGAATAACTACAAATAGCCTATTAAGCCACTGGTGTGAAAAATAAAATTTTTCTTTATGAATCTACAATCTTTATGCTGTTTTTCTTCATTCTGTACTAATTTTGGTTTACAAATAAGGTTGAATTGAAGATATTATTACTTCACATGTTAGACAAGCATTCTGAAGATAAAATTTTCCCGTAATCATCTCCAAAGATAATTTTCTAGAATCATTTTGTCTAACACTTCTAATAATTTTATTTTTCTTCTCTAATTCTTAAAAATCGATATTGATTTTCGTTGTTTTTATTGTTCATAAATTCTGCATAACAGATACAATACATTTATAATAGAAAATACAGCATTTATAGAATAGAAAAGTTTAACCACAACAAGTAGTACAATAGCTTATTTTATCTTCACACTTGAGAAGTTGCTCGATTAGATTGTGGCACTTTTTGTATGTTTTTGTTGCTTCAGAGCTTCCAACATCTAGAAAAATCTTGACTTTTCAAATATGGAGATCAGTCTGATCTGACAAATTTGAAGTTTGAATATTAGACTTTGAAGTGCATCATTTGTCTTCATCTTTAAGGATAAACTATACTTGGACACGGACATAAGAATCAGATTATGATATGACATGCATCCAAGCTTTCAGCATATGGATTACAGCACATTAAGGACATTTGTCTTCAGTGGACCAAGAGGGCCAAAATGAAAATTTGAAAAATAAAAAAAGAAACAAAATTTCTATATATTACAGCACATTAAAATCAATGTCAGGGGAGTCAAGATTTCAGCGTATGGATCCATAGGGGACCTTAAAGGGTGAAGAGAAGTCACTTATTTGATAATATAAGATATATAACCAAAGATTTAAAAAAGTGTCCAACTCAGGAATATATGCATGCACTCATATATATACAGATATATAGACATCAATGCAAAATGCCATATAATTATAGTTTCTTCCACACCATGATGCAAAAAAATTCTTTTCTGATACTGAGTTGACTGTGATCATGGTAGATCATATAGTTGGACTGGGTATCCCACAAACCAGCTTATATGCATGTTCTATCATCCGACAAATCAGTTAAATAGCCTAAGATGCCTTTTACACCAAAATTTGAATTCCAAGAAGAGGTAAAACGGTTTATTTATTGGTCTCAGACACTGGAGGATTCGTAATGTCTAAGATGTTCGAGTGATGAACCACTTTGACTTGGAGAAGAATTGGTTCCAGTGATGAACCAATTCGAACCACTTTCAATATTAACGATTCTCTTAAACTTGCTCTTTCCTCTTTAAGAAGTTCTTCCTTCTCCTAAGTATATAGATGGGTTTGTACTGTTTAATTTTCACATATATGAGAACGCATTGGATATTCAAAATAACAAAGGCACTTTAGGCCATGCTCTCTGTTTCTCTTTGGATTAAAAATTAAGGGCACCTTGACAGATCCAAGTGTTAAGAGGAAATGAATGAGTTTAGCCCTTTGCATCAGCTAATTAATTTTCCAACACCATGTATCCTATTAAAATCAGACTGCACAGTCGAATCAATCAATGACGTAAGTTCCCTTTTGTCCCCGAACACGTCCTCGATAGACTGATTGCAAATGTAAGAATCCGAAGATTCATATGAATCAGGATGACGATCTCACTCTACAATGACCTCGATATAGCCAGCAACACTCGATCGTACATTCTCGCCTTCCGCTCAATATCCTATAAAGCAACTAGTGTATCGAGTCTTTATATTTCAGTTTTCTCTTCAAGAACCAAACTCATGTCCGATGATCTTACGAAATAGCGATCATGACATTGTTTAACTAGTTGCATACTGACAATATGTAGTTTTGATTGAGATTACAGACGCATGGAAACAAAAAAAATGATAGGCAGTACGCAATTTTTTTCTAAGATACAAGAAGCCAAACCGTAGTATACCTCCATGAAAGATTCGGTCACGGGAATCCATGGCAAGAATCGGAAGTAGGAAGCCTTACAGCATCGAAGATCACGTCTGAGTAGGGGGAAAGATCGTAAAATCTGATCGGAGAGATGGAACGAAACGATCAAAGGTTCGTAGCGAGATAGGTCGGATTACCTGCTTCGATCGCGGAGCAGCGGAGGGCATACGACTACAGAACGGCGAAAGAAGGGGCGAAGCGCCATGGATTCCTTTACTCGCAAGCCTCGACCGCGAGATTCAACTTTCGAATTCGATCTGTCTATTTATATAGCACCTGCCGCCTCGACTTTGAGATTCGTGTACATTGCGTTTGACACAGGCACGAGAGATACAATCTGTCGGCCCATTGGCCCAAATTCGAAAAGAGTAGCCCATTAGTTCGGATAGAAATTTTATTTTGGGCACAGACAAGACCTCAAGATTAGAAATCTTCAAGCAACTGTATCTCCATCATGATGACGCAAACACAAAAGAAGCCAAGTTCCTCTTCAGCTCCTGTTCTACGGGAACAAAAACCTCACACCAAATCAATCAGAACACAAAGAAATCCTAAATACTTTCAGCTAACATTCCTCTACTATTTAGCTGGAGATACAATTGCAAAGCATCCTTCACAGTAAAGACTAGCTTGCAAGGCAAGACGATATCAGATTGGAAAAAAAAAAGGCTCAATAAAAGCATGAAAACTGCCCTTGATAACTTATGTTCTTAAGTCCAGACACTAAATATTATGAGCTCTGGATGATTGCAGAAAAAGTGAAAATGAAAATAAAATTAATTCATTTTCTTCTTCTTCTGGGTTTTTCAGTAGCCTTATCGGATGATGACTGCACAGAATTGATCCCTCCGTCGGTGCTCTTAGCCGATACAGGTTGGTTAAATTCTTCGGCAAACCCAGATGAGTACTTCTTTATCCTCAAGGATATGAGAATACTGGAAGCAATTCCAAGCAACGGAAAAATGTATGAGTAGACCTGAGACTTAGAGCCAGTTGTTGAGGCTACAGCAGCACCGGCAAGGCTGCCAAGAGATGTGTTCTGGAGGATCATCGGCAAACAACCGGTAACAGTAGGAAGAAGGAAGTCAACAAGAAAACCAACTTCTGTGGCGGCCAAACCATAATTGATGACATAGGATGGCAACGGAGAAAACCGGGCAAGAAGCACAAATTTCCAACCGTCGCGTTCAACTCCTCTAGCGAGGAGATGGAAGTATCTGCTGCTATGTGCCCATTCTGTTGCTGATTTTGAGCTCCTAAAAATTGCCCTGGACAACAATTAAAGAAACCTCACCATTAGGATATGAAGGTCATTACTGTAGATATCGTGTGATCTAAAATGGGAAATTGGAATTTTTACTTAAGCGGTATATCAGGTTCAATCCATTCAGTGATATCATTCACAAATGCAGACTCAATGTTAAAAATCATCTGATGGGCTTCTTTATCAGGCACTTTCTAAGTCCAGCAGAACCCTCAATGATTGGCTCATCAGGGTCTATTGGCACCAGTCCATGTCAGGAAGTTGTAATGATTACAGTGGAAAGATAAACAGTATATAGATTAATGCAAGAAAAAGATACATAAAAAAAGAAACTGAATGCACAATATAACAATGAAAAATCTGATTAAGATCAAGAATTTTAGACATTTAAAGACAGATGGTACATAAGCTATCGACAGCAACTAATAAAAAATAGGACTTAACCATCAAAAATATCATTTTTTTAAGATTATAAATAACAAATTATTAAAGGCTCTTTCACCAGCTCAACAGGATTAAAAGTTCAAAACTTGAATACTTAGCAGAACAGTGATCCATCAAAATTGCATCCTCCGCTTCTCAATGCCTTAAGATAGGATGATAAATATATTCAAATACGCATCTGAAAGCTAATAAAATTTCTCATGCTGCAAGGATGGTATCAAAGAAAGCAACCAACAAAAGAAAACAAACTTTTACCAAATCTTTTCTTATGAAGAAAATTAGACTCAAAAATGTAATACAAGGCATACCGATAAGTTCCATTTGCCAATGACCAATTAACTGTGATCATGCCATCACCTGACACTTTGTCTGCATATTGAGTATCAAATCACCGAGGATCAGACCCAGGCAGAGGACATATTCTGCCACTGCAATTATTGAATTCTAGAGATCTTAGGTACAGGAATCAGAATGATTTTAAATTCCTATCTGGCATTCCATTAGAAGCTACCTAGACCTAAGTATTCATGCACAACTAAGAATACTGCACCATCATGAAAATTATCCAACTAATGAGAACAAACTCTACCAAGTAACAGATCTTCAAAAGTTTCCATCCCTGAAATCTAGTTTTTGGTACACTCTTCAGATGTGTTTTTGCATAGTGTAGCATACTTTTCTGACCTTATATTGGCTCACATATCTCATGATCATCCAGCAGATTTACCATGTCACAAAGTAGGCCGCCTATGATCATTTTGCATATCACTTTAAAAGAATTCAGGGATATTAGTGATCAAATCCACATTATAGAGGAGAAGAAGACCTTCAACATATTCAAGCTCCTGTGAAAAGACGAGTAACAGTGTGATTGCTTCAATTCTTTCTAAACAAGCAGTCATTGTGCCACAGTTCGGAAGGTAACATATGCACATGGACAAACTCCTCAAGGGCAAATCTTGGAATGAATAGCTTTAATTGAATAAACCAATGACCAAAACATGTTTTATATATCAGGAAAATTATTCAAACCACCAAGTTAGGTCACCTTTGTTCCCTCTTGTTCAGCAAAAAACAGGTTCAAGATTCTACAATGAGGCGGTAATTTCTCTTGATGAGTTGTGCAAGCATAATGTCCCACTAAACCCTTATAATTTCAATATAAGAGAGGCCTATTGCACACAAGAAGAATAGTAAGTTTGGTCACCGAACAAGGAAGCTTCATTCTTTTCTTATCAGTCGCATCGAACCAAAGAAAAAGATTAAGAGAGCGCCAAGCATTTGTAGATCAAGACCTCCCCTTCATCTCAGATACCAACCAAATCACGGATCAAGACAAAGAAGGTAAAGAAAGAATGAAACAAAGGGGGCTTGATGACAAACCGTCCGATCCAGAAAGATAAGGAGGCGCCGAGGACTTTGGCGGAAAAGACGCAGAGGACGGCGGGAAGGAAACCGAAGAGGAGGGAAGCGCCGGCCTCGAAGAAGACGGCGTAGGGGAGGCAAAGCGCAAGGGTGAGGGTGTGGGCCGCCACGTACACCGGGATGGCCCACATCCCGAGCCGCTCCTCCAACTGCCGGAACGGCCGGAGCGCCGCCTCCGCGTCGAGCCCGTACCGCCGGCCCGCTCCCACCAGTAACGCCACGGCTCCCACCGCCACCCCCAGCCGGATCCACCCCTTCCCCATACCCCTCTACTTTCCTCCCTTCCCTTCGATCTCCTCGGGCCGCTATTTCTCACGCGCGATGGCCGTGCGAAGTTCCCCGTCTCTTCTCCTCCTGCCGCTGCTTCTTAACTTGCATAAGAAAATAATGTTTCCCGTTCCGGTGAAAGGTACACCATTTATCTCCATGGTTCTGATTGGACAAAATCAATGGGACCCGACAAAGGACGTTATTTCTTCCAATGAAAAAGCAAGTGGAACCAGTGGAGATTTAATCCGGGTACGAAAGGGTATTTCCTCATCACCGCCGCGGACCTATGTACACGCATATCGAAGTGAAGGGGACAATAGAAGGGTAACACGTAATTGAGGTCATGTCAAATGACTACTTTACCCCCTGTGATTAATTCTACCCGTTTCAGTTTCGATAGAGTTTAGGCTTAACCACTGACATTGGCGTGGCAAACGGTGCTCATTGGTTGGTCCACCGTTTTGATCGTGCTCAGGACATCGATAACTTGGTGAAACTAGCCGGATAGACGGTCGAGCGAACTCCACCCGTAAACGTATGATTAGGTCAGGTCAGGTCAGTTCAGGTCATCATACTCCCACCGCACACGCACCCCGACGCACCACAATACTTTCAGTTCAGGTCACCATACGTCCATCCGCACACCCCAACTTTTGTTCTTTCTCATCTCCGGTCCATCCATCCGGGAATCATTCTTCAAGCTTCTATTTCTTTTTTTTAAGTTGTAAGGACTGTATTTCAAGTGGAATGACGAAAACAGAAGGTTGGACATCGCAAGGCAGGTGAGGGTTGTTGGTGTCAACAACTTTAAGTCGTGGCCTCGGGGTCAACACGGTTATGTTCGGGTCCGAATGATTGAGGATTTTTATGAACGACCATTGGGACTATTGAGGTGGTCGACTGCGATGGTCCGATCGCAAAGGGACAGCCGTTTCCTCTAGAAGGGAACTCCTCGCCCGGGCACGCGGTGGGAGGTGTTCCGTCTTCGTCCCTGCACACAGGTCGGGTCGGGAGGCTCAATCCGACCTCTCCGACGATCAAGTCAATGGATAGTCACATGGGATTTTTATCTTTGTTTTTCTTCCCCTCCTCTTTCTGAGTGCGAGGGTTTTTATAGGGAAAGTTACCGTTACCTAATGTGCCCGCTTGCAGGGAGCATGATCGTACTCTTAGTAACGTCTGACACTAGTGTTGACGTGGCGTGAAGGATCGGACTCGAGCAGGATGTTAATGTGCCTCAGTCGACATTCCGATCTGTTTTGGTCCGACGTTATCGGTCAATCGAGACGCTAGGCGTCATCCAGGCGCAGACGTTAACCTGCGTCCCATCGTCATTATTGCCCTCGTCAAGGGTGATGGAAGATAAGGTTTCTTTTTATCTGATCTTGCTGTTGCTTTCTTCAACAAAGATACACTGATACCTTCAACACCGTCGCAGATGCCGCTGAGACCCACCTGCGTGGTTTGGTCTCGCATGCGTCACGTAAACAAACAAAGCGTGCCTCCAAAACTGTCCGTTTCATCCATCTTGTCATTTTGATTTTGTAATAATAATAATAAAATAATTAGACGAACGGTTCAGATTAGAAGGGGGAATGGATGGACGTTTTGAATATTTTAAACGTTTTTATAGTGCACGAT